ATATACCTGATAAGTCGAAAAACAGAGTCAACAAACAGACTCTAAGAATAAAGTGACAATATGATAAATGAACTTTCAAAAACATCACTTTCAAAAACATCCAGAGATTGATGTTTTTGTTTTTGAAAAGGAAAGTTGAAAGGAATTGGATAGGCAAAAGACCATAAGATAGTCACATATTGTTTTGGGAAAACTGTCAAATAGGTCCTCGAACTTTCATAAAAAGGTCAATTAAGTCCTTCTATAGGAGGTTCTGTCCGGCCGTTGCGATTTGGGGCACTTCCCAGTGGATTTTTTTTATGAAATTTTTTGAGCATCTTATTCACCAAATCTAGTTTACTCATACCAAATTGCGGCTAAATATTCAATCGGGAACACATTCAAATTAATTCTTGAAGATAACTGCACATTTTTGCGTTCTCAAATTAATTCGAATGCGCTCCCGATTACATTTTTAGCTGAAATTTGGTATGAGTAAACTAGACTTGATGAATAAGATGCTCAAAAAATTTCATCAAAAAAATCCATCGGGAACCGCCCCAAATCGCGACGATCGGAAAAAATATCCTATAGAAGGACTTAATTGACTTTTTTATGAAAGTTCGAGGACCTATTTGACAGTTTTCCCTTTTTTTTTTAAACGCTACATACTCTTTTTCTTCGATATATATCATCTCCGGATGTTTTAAAAGTTCATTTGTATATCCTCACTTTATTCATACTTTAATTTTTAATAATTTATAATGCTCGCACTTTATAGGGCATGTTCTAAATAACATGCCAACATGTTAAAAGTAAGTCATTTTATTAGTTAACTTAATTTGTTCCAGATTAATATTATCTAGTTTAATTAATTTCTCCCATTTAAGTCCAATTTGAACTAGCTTGATGTTATTAGGTGTAGTATTATGTATATTATTCATTATTTAATTTGGATTAAGTGTGAAGGTTTAGTATGATCTATTGATAAACTTCGAGTTTTTATTTTATACTAGATCTCGCCAGTGTAAAGGTTCTGACCAGAAATTGCACGTTTTCAACAATAGTTGAATAAAGTAACTTGTGTATAATTTGAGTCTACCAGGGGGCGTAACTCACCTGGTAGGAAGGGAGTGTCATAAGAGAGAGGTCCAGGGTTCAACTCCAAGCAATGACTTGGAATGGAGTCTCACTCTATTTCCATTAGAGTGAGAATGTGAGATCAAAGTTCAATTTACATCCTCCCAACTTGCTGTCCTGGCAGTGCTGGGGGGGCCTCAGGGATGGGGTGTCATCCTTTTTTTGTATAGTTTGAGTCTTTTCAAATCTTTCAAAAGTTTGAATCCTTAACCCGAAAGGCTACACACATCAACCCGACAAGGCATTTGATATGTTGTAAGTAACCTAATGACAATAGATTTTGTACCCAGGCACCCAGATGTGTTTTGATCTTTGAGGTGTCGTGCGGATATCAAAAGTAGTTTCAAAGGAGGGTAGGGAGTGTTTTTTACTCTTATCTACTCTAAGTACAAGTAACGGCGAAACAGCCTAACAAGTATTGCCAATCTATGTGATGTAAATAAACCTTTTGAGACTTGGTATAATACGCTTGCATCAAACCTTTTGAGGCTTGATATAATACGCTTGCATCAATAGTTACAAATTTAAATTATTGGATTTACATGAGAACATTTAATTTGTATGCACATTATTCGTTTTATCAGGCCGAGACTAGTATCCAGTACGGTACGAAAATCGGAAAATGAATTACCAAAATTTGTACCATTTTGTGATTTTCAAAACGGAGTTTGAATTCATATCAGGTGAACAAGATAAAAGGTAGAAATATTTTCAAAAAATACTACTGGAATAAGATCGACCAATATACAAAATATCTTTAAATGCATCATAAGTACACTAATTTGATCACTAATGGGTCTTTCGAAATTGTTCACTACTCATTTCTCCATTTTATGATATTATTTAATACTCATTTACTCATATTAAATATATGAAACCTCATTCATTGAAGTGTTTTACGGAGCATTTAATATGATGACGGAAACAATCATGAGGAACATGATGTGGTACTATGACTATTATCTGGACTCAATTTTTTATGCGTATAGATGATGTGGTAAATAGTAATTCCATACTATTCTAGTTGAAAGCTTCTTACATTTAGCAAATAAATTGTACAAATAAAATTTGCATCATGATTTGAACTTATGAACTTAACTAAGTTCATAATAAGGCGGCGGAAGAATGTGTCAAATTTATAAAAGAAGATAATATCATAATAAGGTGGATGAAATTGTTTAGTACTCATGATTTCTATATGATAAAGGTATGCCAAGTAGATAAAAGGGTAAGTTACATTTTTTGCACACTCATTTTTTGCATATGAAATTGTTTTTCCACTCAATTACTCTGCGAATCATAGTAAGTGTTTTTCTCACATACATTATATTATTCGTTTATTATTTATATCGATATTTAATTATGATTTATGTAATGCAAAAAAACAAGGCTTTCAAAAATCATCAGGCAGTCGTGCAAACCAAATTTGTTTAGTCTGAGTCCAGTGAATTTCGTTTTAAATGAAAAGTCTTCTAAAATAGATCATACTACACATAATCATAATTAAATAGCTAGTGAGTAATGGACACAGTACTAAACTTGATCAATGAGACAAGCTATTCAAGTTGAGCTTAAACCGGGATAAATTTAACTAGATCGGAATTACTACCAAGAAAACAATGATGTTGGCACTGAATTGGCACGGATTGATAAAGTTTGACATTGATCATAGCATATTTTTGGTATGACAGCGTGGCAAATAACTAGTGACAAAACGGCACTCACACGAAATTTGGCACGAATTTGACGTATACGTAAATGAATAATCCGTGTCAAATCCTCTGTGAATTTTTGATGAATCCGTACCAAAGAACTGTGCCAATTACGTGCCAATTTCGTTATTTTGTGTGCCAATTACGTTATTTGTGTAGCTACTATATACTAGTACTCCCAATAAAATATATTGTCATATTAGATCAAAAGGTTTCAAGGTTGTAAATCAGATTGAAATTAACAAAGAAAAATTGTACATTTAGTGGACTTGTGATTAAATAACAAACCAAATGCTGAATTGAGAAAAGATCAATTTATTACGAAGTACTTAATTGCTAAGTGTTTGTACCATAACGAGTATGTCGTGGTGCTTTTTGAGGGTTCACGTTTTGTTTGCCTCATGCGAAACCCTTATGTCGATCCAACAATCTGACATCACCCGAACAAGAGATGGGGCCAGACACAAATACCATTTGAATTATGCTCCATATGGGAAAAGAGGAAAATTAGCTACTATGGTAGAAGTAAAAGTGCAAATAGGACACTAACCTTTTTTTAGGTGCAAATAACATTAAATTGGATACCTAATTGGCATTCTAGCCACTCACTAATATAAGGAACAAACAGATCGGAGGTAACTTAATTGACGGCAACAACGAAATTTAAGTTGATACTTGATATCATTGCTTGGAGGCTATTAATAAGGGGATTTACCCTAAATGGGAGTAATTAGCTTTCTTAATTCCAAAATGGGTTTCTTTGACTTTATTTCTAAAAATGGGACTCCGATGCTCCTTATTAAAAACATAAGATATTTTCATTCTTAAAATACCCCTCTTCTTTCTCGCCTAACATCCGATTATCAATCTTAACGAATCTCAATTCTCCCATCCTATTCTACTCTCTCTCTGCAAGTTCTCGTTCGAAGATCATGGCTTAAACTCTAAAATTGAGCTTCGTGAGGATGGCAAATCACTTCAGACAAGGCTTTCGAACCAAAAAGTCTTAATTTATCGAAGCTTTAGATAGGAAAACGTTTGAATTGTTCTCAAATTTTCTACTCGAGGTCAACTTTTTTACCAGGTATTCTGTTCGATTATTCAATTGTTTTACTTTCGCCTATTTTGTTGATTCAGCTTCGATGTATTTCAGTTTGTTTTTCCTAATTTCGAAGTGTTCTAATGCATCGTGTATCAGTTTGATATTCAACTTCGATGAATATTCAAAGAAATTTAGAAGTTCTCTAATTTGTTCCGATCTCATTAATGTTCTAAGATTCATCAATTCGTTTTTGCAGTGTTCTCATATATTGTAATCGCTGTAATGGATCGTGTTTTGCTTATAATGGTCAAGTTGGATAGTATATGGGGGCCTGACTTTGTCTTCGTGAACAAGGCGACATTAGGTATTCATGTCCCATATTCTTGCAGATATTCATCACTCTTAGACATCCTGAATGGCAGTATTGATCAAATCAAATGCAATCCACGTTTCACCATATCATACCTTGTTGAATCCTTTCCTCCACCTATTAGAGTCAATGATGATGCTAGTTTACGCTTTTATATTGATCTTAAGATCCTTCAATCAGATTTCTCAAAGTATCCTCTGTGTATACAATTTGCAAAGAGAAACTACCTAGTTATGATCCTGTTTTACCCGTTTCTACTCCAAATACTTTGGTCACACGTGCAGCCTGTTCTAATGTTGATCTGTGCAATGCAAATACCGGTTTCACTGTTGTCCATTCCCTAGAACAATACTTGCATCCTGAAATATCTTCCCGTACTTCTGAACTTAGTTTTGATAATGTTCTTTTATCCACATCTTCCTTTTATGTCGATCAGTTGAGTGTTTCCTTGAATAAAAATAACTTTGAAGAGCACAGTTCATGCAGTGGTGTACTTCCTGAATGTTTGAATGACGATTCCCTTGATGAGGAATCGCTTTATTCTTCTTCTGAAAATTTAGAAAATCATTCGTCAGATGCATTTGTGTTAGACCAAAACTGTGATGTCATTACACGTTATTCTGCTACTAAGATTGTGCTCCATGGTATATACGAGAACAAGCAAGATCTACTTTATCACCTTAGAATGTACGCGATCAATAATAGCTTCCAATTTTATTCAAAGAAGCATTCATTGCATGTGATGTGTTTGGACAAAGAAAATTGTAAATGGGTTGTTCGTGCTGTTAGGCTCAAAGGTGTTCAGCTTTTTCAGATTAGAAGGTATAATTCTTAATTCATTCATATATTTTTTGTTGTTTCTGATGTATTTTAAGAATCTTGCATTATGTGTTTCCTAGTTCAAAGTTTCATTGCTTAAGAATACTGTCACTGCACACCTTGTATTTCCAAGCATGTATACTGTCATCTGCTACGTTCTTCCACCTGTGTTTGTATTATTTTCATAGTGTACATGTACTGTCAACAATTACTGCCACACATGTACCTTCTCCCGTACTTCATATATCCATCAGTTTATATTTATTCGTTGTTCTTTACATACAGGTTTGATGTTGATCACACTTGCTCAATAGACTTTAGGCAAGATGTTCGTCACAGGCAGGCCACTTCTACAATGATTGCTGAGCTTGTAGCTCATCAGTATAAAGATGCTTCCAAAAAACCATATACACCTAAACAAATCGGGGATGATTTGTTGTTGCAGTATGGAATACCGATATCATACAAGAAGTCTTGGGCTGCAAAGAAATCTGCCATGAGAAAACAATTTGGTTCAGATTCAGAGGCATACCAATTGTTGACGTCGATGCTCCATATGCTTGACCAAGCTAATCCAGGATCTGACGTCTTGCTCATTAGAGGGGATAATGATGTGTTTCACTACTTTTTCATGTCACTTGCACCATGGGAGCATTGCATTCCTGTTCTTATTATCGATGGTTCTTTTATGAAAGCGTACTACAAAGGGACGTTGCTTACCGCCTGCAGACAAGATGCAAACAAACAGATTGTGCCTTTAGCGTTTGCTGTATGTGATTCTAAGAGCACCACGTCTTGGAAGTGGTTCTTTACAAGGCTCAAAGAGTGCCTTAAACATCGTGATGACATGTACATTGTGTCAGATAGACATAAAGGTATTATCAAAGCTGCAAAGGCCATCTTTCCACACGCTGCCCATGGATATTGTTGTGAACATCTGCGGCGTAATATGAGATCCAAATTTCGAGGTAAGTCATCCAACCATGGTTACAAATTTAATGTTGTATGGGAGGCTACAACTGTGAGTGAATGCTATCAATATTTGTCCATGTTGGATGAGGAAGATGCTAGGATTCGTCCGTGGCTAGAGAAGATTGGAAAGGAAAAGTGGGCTCGAAGCATGACAGTTAAGAGTCGATGGGGTGTTATGACCTCTAACTGTGCAGAGGCCATGAATAGCATGGATGCTAATACAAGAGAGTACCTTGTCGTTAAGCTTTTGGATTTTATCCGTGAAAGAATGCAAACATGGTTTGCGGAGCGGCTGGAAGAAGCAACTTCATCAACTACTCATTTGACTCTAAAGTTTGAGAAACATTTAGTTTCATTGTAGAGGGATGCTTCAAGGATGAGGGTAACAATCTCATTTTCTCTTTGTTTCACTTTTTGATTCAGTTACTGGCAAGTGTATACTGTCAAATTTATTACATGAACGTCATAGTGTTTCATTCACATTTCTATTGTACTGCCATGTTCTGGTTTATCCTTGTGTTGTATTGACTGTAGTGTTCTATCTGTAATTCACATCTTTCATTAACCTTAATTTTTCAGGTTAAACCGTCATGCCGTTATGAGTTTGAAGTTGTTGATAGACTTCGTAGATCTTTTATTGTCAATCTCAATGACCGAACATGCACGTGCCGTATGTTTCAATTAGAGCATTTTGTTTGTGTACATGTTGTAGCTTCCATAGGCACACGCCCTGGTGTTTCCTGCTATGATTATATATCATATTATTATATGAGACAGCCTGTGTTGATTACCTGTAGTGGTGTGCAGCATCCAATTGGTGATGTATCTTCTTGGATAGTTCCACCTCATTTTCAAAGTATTGTTTGCAAGCCACCTTCATGTTCTAAAAGACAAGTTGATACTTGATATCATTGCTTGGAGGCTATTAATAATCATGAGCCAATTGACACCGATAACTAAACTAGAAATTGATTTCAAATGAAGGAATTTTATATACATATTCATAATATAAATAAATTATATAATTAGAGTATAACCTTATTTATATTTTTTAGTACCTAATAGATTATACCAATTAGCCCCTTTAATTATATGACAATGAATTGGAGTTACGATGGTTTTGCTAAATTTTATGAGCTTAAATAGGTGTGGGCAAACGGGTACAAGAACCACATGTCGAGTTAGGTAATACATGTTTGAAGTGGATCTTAAAAAATTTAGGAATCGAACGGGTCTTAAAACATTTAGAAATTGAACGTGTCTTAAAATTTGAACAAACTTGCGATTCTATTAAAAATAGTTTCAAAGTCCATATAAACTCCTAAATTATTATCTCCAATTCTCTATTCCTTCTTTATTTGATCTTTTTTTTTGTAAATAAAAACTCTTATTCAATGACGTGTGACATATTCATTTAATTATCTTAAATTAACTTACATTTTGAGATTTACTAATTGTTGAGGTTTATTCGTTCAACCTTTGGGTCCAACACGTAAGCCCAAAGGTTTCGAGTGGAGTGGTGTATGAATAAACTAGCCCAACCAACAAGTAGATGGATTAAAGAGAATATGTAGCAAGTAAGAGATCAGGTATTATTAATCAGTTAATAACTCCCCAATACAATATGCTTGCTAGAGGCTCGTCGGCCGTACGTCCTACAAAGCAGTAGAAGAGCTGCGAGTAAGAGAAATATAAGCTAGAGTGCTAAGAATAGTAAGTTGTCAACTCTTTACAATGAAATAAATGCTGCTATTTATACCACCAATGGGCAGGTGGCTATGCTGACATGGAGGGCTATGTGTGGCTGGTGTTCCAACCACCAAATCTTCAACATTAAATGCGCTTCCCGCCAGAATCTGGGTTTCCCGCCTAACTTGTGGAGACGTACGTCCAGCTGGGATGGGGCCTGCTCCTGATGGTGCTGTAAAGGGTAGTGGACCGTTCGTATCCTGGCCCTTAGAAGAATTTGTCACTTGGATGGGATTGGCATCAAGCGGCTGTGGCTTGAGTCGGCGACGTTCGTCGCCACTAACTTTGCTTGTGGGCCTGAACCATCATTGTATGTCCGGACGTTCGTCAGGATGGGCTTGCAAGCAAGGCGTTGGATCAGCCGTTCGTCGCTACTGTGTTTGCCTGCTAGTTTGATCTACCAATATCCTGATCGGACGTTTGTCCGAATGAGGGGGTGAATGGGCCGGCCCTTTACTTAGGCCATTAACCCAACACTAATTAAGTCGTAAATTGTTCTATTAGACATATATGTATTTTTTTTTACCCCAGGGGGGTCTGGGGGGCCTGGAGTCCGGACTATGCTCACCGGATTACCCGGACATCCAAGCCTTAATATATACCAACGATTCATGAAAATTTATCAATTACCCGGACCACTCCGGAGTCCGGACTATGCTCACCCTTAAATTGCATTAAGATAAATAGAGTTCCATGGCTCAGGAAGCCATTTCACTAGACACATGCTCCTTTACGTTATTACCTCAAAAGGATTACGAACATCAGTACATGATGGCTAATTTCTAGCTTTGGGGCTGGAACCAAGCATTCCCATAATCTTAGGGATTTTGAAATACATCTGCAAATTTAAAAAATAAGGAGATGTAACATGAGGAAACAAATTCGAGTCTAGTATCATAATAATATAAGGAGCTCCGTTTTAACGTGTTTGATGTCTTCTGGTAGTGAGTGGCAAGAATGCCTATTATGTATTGAATTTAATGCTATTTGCACCTAAAAAAAAGGTTAGTGTCATATTTGCACTTTTACTACTACTATAGTGGGTAATTTGCCCCTTTTCCCTGCTCCATATAATAATATGAAGAAGGGTTATCAATAGCAACATTCATGTTTTATAGTATCTTAAAAGATTTTGAGTATGTACAAATATTCGAAGATGGTTTTTAAGTTTTTTCTTATGAGAAGTTTTTTCAAAGATTTTTCGTATATACAAGATTTAGAACTTAACTTTTGGGATCAAGATGTTTTTACTTGGGCTGAAATTTTATGGTCTGGTGTACTTATGTTTTGTCTAATTTGGTCGGAACTGATCTGGTATCGTCTAGCAAATGTTTGGTATTTGTGTATTTTATAACCATGGAAGTCTGATTTGATCTGGTCTGAATTGGTCTGGTCTGTCTAAGTCTAATCTGGTCTAATTTGATTTATTTAAGTCTGATCTGGCCTGGGATTCCAAACGGTTCAAGTAAAAACATCTTAAATTTACACGTACCAAGAGGTGTGGAGATTTTAATGGAAATTGAACTAGGCGGTTCAAACACGATTCTAGGTGCGTTTGTAGGCCCGAATCTACAGTAAATGCATGCAGGTAATTAGACAATTATTGGGCTGGGCTTTTGGGCCCGAACTCGTATATAATAAGATATTATCGGCGAAATTATGAAGTTTCATTTTCAGGCGGGCCACAACGACCGGCTTGCATAGTTCAATCGCAGCAATGCCGGTAAATCAAGAATTAACATGGAATTACTTTTGTTATTAAAAAAAATGAAATTACTTTTCTTAAACTAATTAAGGAATCTCTTACCGATGTGTAAAGCAATGGAACTTTTATGGAAAAAATATTAATATAGTCAAGTTTATAAGTTCAAAATATGACGCAAATTATACTTGTACCGTTTATTTGCCACATGTAAGAAGCTTTCATCTAGAAAACGTCTAGAGTTACTACGTCATTTATACGCATAAAAAATTGAGTCCCTATGATACCACCTCATGATCCTCACGGCAGTTTCCGTCATCACATGCGTCATATAAAATATGGGTTTTATCAAATACTTAGTACATTACTCGCTTTGTTACCCAATTCGAAATCCACTTCAAAAAAGAGGTTCCATCAATTTAATATGATCGAATAAGTGGGTACGTATTAAATAAATTCATTAGATGGAAGAGTCATTAGTCATCAATTTTGGAAGAACCATTAGTACGTGATCAAAGTGAAGTATAGCGACGAATAAGTTAGCAATATTTACGACCTTTTATCATTTGTTTAAGAGACTAGTTAATAAAGTCATCCCGCCTACTTCAATTGTAAATTAGATATATGAGCAGTCATTACGAATAGTTACTATCCATAAAAAGTGTTAACTGTTTAAACCTCTTGGAGTCATCATACTTTGCCTAATTTCGACTTGTAGACTCGATTAGGTGCGTCCTCATCAGAATTTAGGTGTGCTAAATATAGATTTTAAATGGATTCTATCATTATATTGGTGTCCCCGACATTCTATTGACTTCATAAGTTATTTATTTTGATGGACTTGAAAAAATTCCATTCTTATCTTCCTTGTGCTGCTTATCTCATCACCGATTAATTGCCTTTCTTCTCTTCTCATCCCACAATGGTACTCGCATACGAAATCACCTGGAGCAAAAGTATGATGGATTCACCTACCAATTATACTCATCTTGACTCTTTAATTAAGGCTTCCTTAATTAAACCCATCATGGATTTTTATTTTAGACCAATTTAACATACAATACCGGCTTTAAACGAGTCTTTGGCCCTAATTTGATCGCTGGAAAATCTACCAGAACCCGATAGTTAAAAGTTAAAACCCATAAAATTTATCATATAGAATTGCATAGAAATAATTTAGAAAATATAGCCATGTACAAAGCTCAACCATATCAAAATATGAGGTCAGTTACTCCTACATATTTAGGGAATAAAAAAATAGTAATGTTATGATGAAATAGCGAAATTCATGATAATAATATGTACTTTTAACTGCTCTACAATCATACGTAGAAGTCTCTATTGAAAATGTCAATGCAAAT